CTTGGTAGAGAGAGTCAATCTCCTTTATTCCAGATTTAGGTTTTTAACTACACTGCTTCATTACAGATGTTCTGCTCACCTGAGAATTACATTATAGTTGAAATAAACTCACTTGTCTGGATGGAAAGAAATTATCAAGGCAGGTATTGGTATGCTTCCTCACCCATCAATTAGTGTAGATAAACTCCTAGCCAGCAGAAGTAGGTCTGAGTAAATTTGACTAGTCTCCTTCAACTCTCTAACTAAGGCAACTGAGTAAGAGATCATTTTTTCATGAAAAGAACTATTATTAAAATTAAAAATTAGTTTGAGGTTAATTGGAATTATTCCATAAAATTTTTAAATTTGGTCATGATAGATGTCCCCCATTCTCATTAGAATGTATCTTTTTAAACACCTCACCTAATTTAAATAAGGTTAAAATTGAGTTGTCATGAATATACTGAACTATTTTATTTTTTTTCTTTTTGGGTCACACCCAGAATGCTCAGGGGTTACTCCTGGCTCTGCACTCAGGAATTACTCCTGGCGGTGCTCCGGGGACCATATGGGATGGTGGGAATTAAACCTGGGTCAGCTGTGTGCAAGGCAAACGCCCTACCCAGAGAACAGAGGGGAATGCCCTCCCACAAAGACAGGGTGGAATGTGGAAGATGGGGGGTGGGAGGGATACTGGGATCCGTAGTGGTGGGAAGTGGGCACTGGTGGAGGGATGGTATTTGATCATTGTATAATTGAAACCCAAGCATAAAAATGTGTAAGTCTGCAACTGTACCTCATGATGTCTCACTATTAAAAAATTTTTTAATAAAAAAAGAAAAAAATGCCCTACCCATTGTACTATCGCTCCAGCCACTGAACTATTTTAACAAAAATATATTTGACTGTATTAAATGTAATGTTCTACAGCTACAAGAGCTACAAGAGCAAGTATTACTTACTACTACTTCTATTACTGCTACTACTACTACTATTTTGTGTGTGAACCAAACATTGTACAAAGTGCCTTACATGAATTATTTATTATTAAATTCTCAGCAATAATCTCTGGGGTGAGTGCATTGTTTTCAGTATAAAGACCTTTAAAAAAAAAAGACTAACCTGCTCAGGATCACTGGTAGAGCCATGATATGATTCAGATCAATTTAAGTCCAAAAGTGCTAATTATGTTTAAAAAATGGATTGACAAAATCTTCTAATATTTATGCAGTGACCAAATACTGAATAAATAACCAAATATAGTAGGCAGCAGAATATGCTGGAATTATTTCTCTACTAGAATCATAATCTTCTCTTTCAATAAACTGGGTCCCTAAAATGGCTAGTTTTAATTCATGTGTTTAGTAAACTGCTAAACATACACATAAATTGTTGTCAAACTTGATTTTCACGATAGTGTTCACATTAGTTTTTGTGCTGTTCTGTTTTACAGTTAGTATTGTTCTTAAAAATGAGTGTTTGGTAATTTTCTGAACCTCTGTGTATGAGTTAGAATTGAAAACCTGCTTGCGATTCTGAAATTGTTCTCGTGGTTCCCCATATCATATCAGACTGCCATTTCCCCCCAGTAGACAAAAAGCCCTTGGTTACTTTTTTATATATACCTCTTATATATCTAATATCTAGGAAAATGCACCACTTTTGTTTTCATCTTGGAGTGTATCACAGATTGCATGAATCATTGAGATGGGTAAATCATTGAGATAGACTAGCCAAAGTGACTCTCCCTAGAGGTTTCTATTTCATTTTCTTTTAGATGTCTGGTGTGCTGAAATAACACAGGGTTTCCTAAATTCTTACCTTTATTTTTAGTGTCTGAGGGACCCTTAATAAGCAGGGTCTTCATGAAGCATTAGAAAATTCCAGGACCCATAGATATTCTAAACTGAAAAGTACTTATCTCCAAATACCCTTCAGGGAGGATTGCTGCTGTTACAGCTGCTTGAGAACTGACAATAGTCGTTGGGAAGATTGCCTGGGGCCAGAGTTCATCATTACCTTTTTTCAGCAAGAGTAGGAGGAGAATTGATCATTAGTTAAACTGTAGGGATTATCCGAGTATCTGCTTCACAGCCATCCTGCAAGATTCCACATCAGCTCACTTCCTTTGAGGATGGCTGTGGAGTCGGCTTGTCTTCATTTCCCCACTTACGGCAGTGGTTCTGAAAAGTTTGTAAGGAAAAGTGGCCAAGGAAAGCCGTGTACTTTCTTCTCAGAAATATGCACATGGAAAGAAACATATTGAGTATAACTTTAGGGAATTTGAAATTTTCTAAAGTCCATCTCAGCACTACTTAGGATCTAATATCACAGAAATGTTGGAACAGATACAGTTTCTGGACTTCATTTTAATAGTTTTTGATTCACATGTTTTTCCACTGTGACCCCTTTCTTATAGAATCTGCAATTCCTCCTGGAGAAAAACCACAAGCAGAACTTCCTGAGGTGGGGGAGGGGGGTGTCTGAATTTGCATTCTTTCCTTTATTATATTCCAATTAAATATTTTTAGAAGACACTTTATTATGAGAAATGCCATCCATATATACAGGTGGAACAAATCTCAATGAACTCCTGAACTATTAACCAACTGTCACTTTTTGCTTCATATACCACACCCATGTTTCTTTTTCCTTATTATCTAGCCAACTATTTGCTGACGTATAACATATGTTCTTCCCTTCTTATCTTGAATCAAAGGCTATATAATTTACTTATTTGTAAATACTTCAATATGTATCTCTAAATGATAAGAAAAGCTATAGTGCAACAAAGAGAGATAGTGAGTGGATGAAACACTTGCTTTGCAACCAACCAGGGTTCAATCCCCCACGTCAATATAATCCCCTGAGTCCATCTAGAGCTCCCCTGAGTTTGGAGCCAGAAGTAAGCCCTGAGCATTGCCAGTTATAATACAACGCCCACAAAAAAAAAAAAAAAGAAACCTGTCAAGAATAGCTGTAGTACCATTATCAAGTCTATTAAGTAAGATCCCAATTAATTCCTTAGTTATCAGACATTGTCCAGGGAGACATTTTCATTAATGCAATAAGCGATAGCACAGCGGGTAGGGCGTCCGCCTTACAAGCGGCCAACATGGCCGACCCGAGTTCGATTCCTCCGCCCCTCTCGGAGAGCCCGGCAAGCTACCGAGAGTATTCGATATGCCAGACACAGTAACAACAAAGTCTCCAATGGAGACGTTACTGGGCCCGCTCGAGCAAATCGACGATCAACGGGAGGGCCTTTACTTTACTTTTACTTTACTTTAGAAATTCAATTTTTATGTCTGAATTCGAAACAGAATCCAAATAAGTTTCTCATGTTATGATTGTTGTTTTATCTCTGCCATCTCTTCTAATACACATTCTCTATCCTTTTTCTTTTATTAGCTATTTATTAATTGAAGAGAATTTGTCCGGTAATTTCAGAGCTGAGAATTTGCAGGTTGCATTAATCCATTGTATTGTCGTGCTTATTTAACATTTTAAAGGTTTGTTGGGTTTAGGTTTGATTTTTCTTTTTCTATTTTTGGTCAAAACTGTTTCCAAGTGAGGCATGTATTTTCACTAGGGATCATCTGTGTGTGTGATTTTAGCAATTATTGTTGAATCATTAATTTATTGAGGGTTACAAAATAATGGCATTCCAAATCTAAATCTCATATTTCTCTATTAAAAAAACTATAATATTTATCAAACCTTACTCTTACCTTCTATTTGTTTACTCCATACAATAGTTTGTAAAGGAAAGGTGAAATAAATGCTTGATGCTCTTTATCAATTTTCAAAATGATGAGTTGAATTACATCCTTCAAAGATGACCATAGGTTTAAACACATTTATTTAATTAGATTTGCTTTTGTCATGTGGAAGCCTCCTTCATTTGACTCTTAGTCCCTTTAAGATGACCACAGTGTCTTTAAGAATTTACTTGCTATTTATAATGATAGGCTGGAGTGATAGCACAGCAGGTAGGGTGTTTGCCTTGCACTTGACCGACCCCGCCGATTCAGGTTTAATTCCTCAGCCCCTCTCAGAAAGCCTGGCAAGCTCCAGAGAGTATCTCGAGTATCTCGCCCCCACGGCAAAGCCTGGCAAGCTACCCGTGGTGTATTTGATATGACAAACACAGTAACAAGTGTCACAATGGAGACGATACTGGGCCTCCTAGAGCAAATTGATTGGCAGTGACAGTGACAGCGTTCTTAGTACTTGTATATTTTGTTGTTCTTTTTGTTTACTACACAGCCAGCTACTTCTCTAAAGTCTTCTGGTTTTTTTTTTAAAAAGTGAATTTTATTGATTAATTTGTTTTTTAAAATTTATGTTTATATGAGCCACACTCAGAAGTGGGGAGGCGGGGGTAGGCGTAGGAGGAGCAGGACTAGTCTCTCAGGCTGAAGAAGCTCAGCCTAAAGTTGGGAAACTCTGGTTCTCCCAGTGCTTTGGAATGAGGGGTTGTCAGACAGTGCTGGGGATTGAACTCTGGGCTTCCCATGTGATAGGCATGCGCCCTGCCATTTGAGTTAGCTCGCTATTTATTTATCTGCAGATTTATCATTGAATATATGTTTCAGAGGAGACCTTTGTCTCTGTTCAGTACGTGTTTATAGAACCAATTTTTAAGATCAACATTTATTACTCTGTTAACTTTATTGGTAAGAATATGCTTAGAATGCTATTTATGTAAGATTCTTCTGTAATTTTTAGGATGTAACTTAAAAATATTATAGCTTCAGGATCAGAATCATAGTTCAGTGGGCAGGGTACGTGTTTTGTGTGCTGCCAAGATAAGCTTGATTTCTGGCACCAGATATGGTCTCCCAAGTCCTTCCATGAGTGACACCTGAGCACAGAGACAGAACTGAGCCCTGAACCACCCTTCCCCCAATTATTAAAGCTTTTTATTTTGCCTTTATAAATGGCATATTTCTTATGGTTATATATTCTAGACACACTATTAGAGAACTTCAAAGTATCACCTGAAAAATACAAACTTTAAGAATATACTTTCAGGGATTATTTCTAGAGTTTGTTGCTGCAGAAGTTTTTTTGTACTCATAGAATGCCCAAAACCATAAGGAGGAGGCATAGGATACTCTCCTGGGAATGATGCTGTTTCTTGGTTGTTTCTTCTGCAACTGCCCTTTGCACTGATGCTTGCTCTCTTCTCTAGAGAGGGTAAGAGTGAGAAGATGCAGTCTGAGTGGTATCCACTGCATTTATTTGATTTTTGATTCCAGTATCATTGAGTTCAAGTTCCAGCAGAAGCACCACCACAACAAATATATGTTTTCAATATATATTTGTAATACATACAGTCTTGATATCTATTTGTATTCATATGTATGTAGAATACATATACTTATGTGTATACGTGATGCTTGTTTATGTGTATTTATATATGTACATGTAGACAAATACATACAGTCACATTTGAGAATGACCAGATTTCTTGATTTTAAAAACAACATTTGAATCCTACCTTGCCAAAACATTGTGTTTTTTGAGCTGTATCTAGGTCAAATAAACACAGGCTTTTATTTTTGGCAATATTATTTTATTGCTGCAAATACTACTAAATCACTCAGAATACAACTACTGGCATACAAGAGGAACAAAAAACACAACCCAAATGGTACATTTTGTTCGATGACGGGTCTTCAACCTTCTCTCTGCTTCTTCACCATGTGTTAAAGAAAAACATCAAAATTTATTCAAGTAAGATTGCCATTCTATACCTTTTGGCTTCTTCAGTGATTGGCTATATCTAAGGGTAGAGTACTATACACGGCAGATGGTTTTCAATAGATTTTTGCAGGAGTTTTGGTTTGATTTCATTTTTTGACTCCAGGATAGAATCTAGCACCTCACACATATGCAAGGTATGTGCTCTACCACTGAGTCACCTTCCCAGACTGACTTCTTGCAATTATAAATTCCTTACCTTCACCCTACTGCATTTCCTGATGAGGCAGAAGAATGTTCCAGTGGAACTGAGAGCAGTCTTAGCAATCTCTGTTGACCACATAAAAGATAACAACCCAGAAATGCAGATAATGCAGATTCATAATGAAATGTATATTTCAAGAGCACCATCAGGAGTAATTCTGGACTGTAGATCCAGGAGTAATCCCTGAGCATCATGGGATGTGTCCCAACTTCTCTTCCTCCACCCCATGCCCCAACAACAACCAAAAAAGATAGTGTTGGAAGCAATCCTCCATTCATGTAGAATCCAATCCTGGCCAACTTGAGGTTTTTCTACTTTTCAATTGTTTTCTTTTTTGCTCTTATGATTTGTGATAATGCTCTTCAATCTTGTATTCACCTGCAGACTGACCTTGAGACATCACTATTACTCAGAATTCACATTCTACATTAAGTTCAGTATGATGAGGGCTGGAAAACTATATAATGACATGTATTCATCATTTTAGTACCATTCATCATTATAGTACCATACAGAGTGTTTTCTTTTTGTTGTTTGTTTGTTTTGGTTTTGATATTTGGCCTACACTTTGCTGTGCTTAGGACTTACTCCTAGTTTTGCCCTCAATGATCATCTCTTATGGGGGCCTCAGGGGATCATATATGGTGCCAGGATCGAACTCCAGTTGGCTGCTTGCAAGAAGTGTGTCCTACTCATTCCCGCACTCCATATGAAGTAGTTTCATGACCCTAAAAATTTGTGTACTATCTATCCATCCATTCCTCCCTCACCTCAACTCATGGACAACTCTGGTTTTTTCACTATTACTATAGCTTAGCATTTTCCAGATATCATAGCCAGAATAATAAAATTTGAAGTTTTGTCAAACTGGCTTCTTTCATTTAGCAATATGTATTTAAACTACTTTCACTTAATCACTTAACTTCCCGTTAGTCGCTGATTTGCTCGAGAGGGCACCAGTAACGTCTCCATTTGTCCCTGTCACGTGCTAGTGTAGCCCAATGGCATCTGTTCGCTCTGGGAACATGAAGAGCCTCAAACCGATTATTCATGATCTTGATGAAGAAGTCTTACCATCTGGCAGGTGGGCGGCCACACGGTCTTTTGACATCCCATGGAATCCAGTCGGTAACAGCTCTAGTCCAGCAGTCGTCTTTAAATCTCATTACGTGACCAGCCCATCTGATTTTTGACACCTTGGCAAACGAGACAGCGTCCCTGATTCTTGATCATCGACAGATGTCGGAACTCCCGATTCTTTCTCTCATTTGAGTGAAACGTGATATTCCAAGTATAGCTCTTTCAATTCTTCTTTGGGAGACCTGAATAGCATTCTCATCCTGTTTGCGTAGGGCCCAGGTCTCTGAGGCATATGTTAATGCAGGAAGAACAGTGGAATCAAAGAGATGTGCCCGGAGCCGGAGGTTCTTTGTCCTCTTAGCTATTTCTTTGTTCTTGAAGGCGTTCCAATCCACTCTCTTCCTCTACTACCTCCACTACCTCCACTACCCAGTCGCCGCCACACTCAGGACGCTTTCCGGACCCACGCGGCCGCAACACATCATAAGACACTAAATACCCATCTTCCGGAATTGTCATATCATATTTGATAGGGTTCCAATATGGTAACACCTACGAAGGTGATTAGAGGTCACCCTAAAAGCCTCTCTCCCTCTCGGAAAGACTGGCAAGCTACCGAGAGTATTCTGTCCGCATGGAAGAGCCTGGCAAGCTATCCGTTGTGTATTCGATATGCCAAAACCAGTAACTACAATGGGTCTCATTCACCTGACCCTGAAGGCTTCACTGACATGGCAGCACTGAGAAGGATGAGAAAGGAGAGGCCGATAAAATCTCAAGGCCAAACTAGGCTGCCACAACGAAGGAAGACAAAAATGATGGTCTGTACTTTCAATGCATGTACGCTAGCATCAAAACTACTTTCATACCTTTAAATAATTATTTTAGAGCTGAATATTATACTTTGGATATACTGTTTGTACATTTAACTCTTGAAAATCTTGATTGCCTCTAATTTTATAGTTGTGTACTTTATATTTGTGGTTGTGATGTATTTTGAGTTAATATTTAATGAGGGATATAAAATATGTGTACAGTTTTTTGGTTTTGGGTGGTTGTTTTTGCATATGGGTATACAGTTATTTAAATATCATTTTTTGAAGAGTTGCCTTTAGTTTTGTAAAAGATAAATTGACCTATTTCTGGGCTTTTCATTCCATTCCATTGATCTGCTTATCTAGTCTTTCTCCAGTACCTACCTGCCATGGCAATGCCTTTACATATGTCTTAAAATAGCAATGCTGATTCTCTAATGTTCTTTTATGATCAAAAACATAACAAATTTATGTTTTCCTTCAGTAATGTATTAGCCATTCTGTGTATTTTTTCCTGTTCTTATCAACTTCAGAATCTGTCAATATCCATAAAATAACTTTTTGGGATTTTAATGGGAATTTCTTTAAATCTATAATTTGTTGGATGACAACTAGACATTGAGTTTTCCTATCAATGACCAGTTTTTCATTTATTTAATTGTTTTATTTCAGTCATCAAAAATATTTTTGATTGTGAACATTACATGTATTTCTCAACACCCTTACCTACCTCTATCCTACTCCTTCCACCTCCTCCTCTCCTCTGGCTATAAGTAAAAGGGTTTTTTTTTTTCCATTTTATTGAGTCACCGTGAGATAGTTACAAGCTTTCATGTTTGGGTTACAGTCACACAATGACCAAACACCCATCCCTCCAACAGTGCACATTCCCCACCACCAGTATTCCCGGTATAACTCCCTTTCCCACCCTCCCCCTGCCTCCATGGCAGACAATATTCCCCATACTCTCTCTCTACTTTTGGGCATTATGGTTTGCAATACAGAAACTGAGAGATCATCATGTTTGGTCCTTTATCTACTTTCTGCACACATTTCCCATCCCGACTGGTTCCTCAAGCCATCATTTTCTTAGTGATCCCTTCTCTATTCCAGCTGCCTTCTACCCTTTGCTCATGAGGCAGGCTTCCAGCTATGGAGCAATCTTCCTGCCCTGTGTATCTACTATCCTTAGGTGTCAGCTTCATGTTATGTTGTTTTATACTCCACAAATGAGTGCAGTCCTTCTATGTCTGTCCCTCTCTTTCTGACTCATTTCACTTAGCATGATACTCTCCATGTCTATCCATTTATAAGCAAAGTTTATGACTTCATCTTTCCTAATAGTTGCATAGTATTCCATTGTGTGGATGTACCAAAGTTTCTTTAACCAGTCAGCTGTTGTAGGACACTTGGGTTATTTTCAGATTTTGACTATTGTGAACAGTGCTACAATGAACAGATAGGTACAGATGTCATTTCTACTGTGTTTTTTTTGCATCCTCGAGATATATTCCTAGAATTGGTATTGTGGGGTCATATGGAAGCTCAATTTCTATTTTTTTTCTTGGCCTTTTGGGTCACACCCAGCGATGCTCAGGGGTTACTCCTGGCTCTGCACTCAGGAATTACTCCTGGCGGTGCTTGGGGAACCATATGGGACACCGGGGATTGAATCCAGGTTAGGTGCGTGCAAGGCAAATGCCCTACCTGCTGTGCTATCGCTCCGACCCCCACTCAATTTCTAGTTTTTGAAGGACTGTCCATATTTTTTTCCAGAAAGGCTGGACTAGTGGGGATTTCTACCAACAGTGAAAGAGTGTCCCTTTTCCCCCACATCCATGCCAGCACTGATTGCTTTTGTTCTTTTGAATGTGTGCCAGTCTCTGTGGTGTGAGATGATATCTCATTGTTGTTTTGATTTGCATCTCCCTGATGGCTAGCAATGTGGAGCATTTTTGCATGTGCCTTTTGGCAATTTATATTTCTTTTTTGAGGAAACTTCTCTTCATTTCTTCTCCCTCGTTTTTGATAGGGTTGGAAGTTTTTTCTTGTGCAATTCTACTAGTATCTTGTATATCCTGGATATTAATCCCTTATCAGATGGATATTGGATAAATATTCTTTCTCATTCCATAGGTTCTTTATGTATATTGATCACTGTTTCTTTTGAAGTGCAGAATCTTCTTAGTTTGATGTAGTCCCATTTGTTTATGTTTGCTTCCACTTGCATGATCAGTGCTGTTTTGTTCTTAAAGGTGTTGTAAAAGGGTCGTTTTTTTTTTTCACCAAAATTCACTAGGGGAAAGTGGAGTGCTTTGAGGAGCAAAGTTATAAGAGTATAGGGACTCCCCTATGAATACCAC